TGAGGTCTCTCCTTCTCACTGGCAGTCAGTTCTTCTGTCTGCAGATTTTCTTGGGAAATCGTGCCATTTGAAAAGTTGAGGGATTTGTGGGAAATATACAGACCCAATTCTTTACACATCATTAAACTATTTTCAAGTAACTGCTCTGTTACTTCCTGTTGCTTTGAAAAGGCTCAACCTATGCACACTGAACTTACAAAGAAGATTTTGGGCAACAAGGCTACCTTCAGCCCCATAGTCACACTGGAGCCCAGGAGGAGGAAATTCCATAAGCCCATCACGATGACGATCCCCGTGCCCAAGGCCTCCAGCGATGGGCTCATGAACGGCTATGGAGGTGACACACCCACTCTAAGGTTACTATGCAGCATAACAGGTAAGATGCCAGTCCTGGAGCTCTCCATGTGCATTCTGAAACTGTCAGTCCCCAGGGGCTGGGAATGCTGAACTGATTACACCTAGGGGAAGCTGGATGGAAGCCTGACTGGGGCTAGAAGCTGTGAAAATAAGCTACTTTCCAAACAATTCCTTTATACCAGAAATAACATTTGTTGTTTGCACTAACAAGAGATGTGTAATGTAATCGCAGACTTTGGGTTTGGTGGGTTTTCTGTGCTTTCCCTACAGTTTGTTTCTTGAGAACCAGCATACCTCTGCCTGGCTAAGTGTAGTACAAACTTAATGTTAATGTTGCAGGATGCTTAGGAGGAAAATACTGGAGTTAAACACTTGATTTGCCATGGCTCCTAAGTGATTGGCATCTGCTTCAGTCTCCGTTAAGAGACAGAAATGAGCTACAAGCATTTAAATAAATTAATTTAATTCTGTGCTGCAGGGCTCATCACTTAAAAATCGTTTGGGCACTTGTTTTTTTCAGGGTAGGCCACTCCAGTCCTACTAGCATTAGTGGAATAATGTGGACCCAAGGAGAAATCATAATAATCTGGGATTTTTACTGGTTTCCTGGCAACTAAAAGCTCTCAAGAATTTATTAGAAGCAAAAAAGTCTGAAGACTTACTTAGTTTTGATTTTATTTTTAAACCTCTATCATTTTCAGGAGGAACCACTCCTGCCCAATGGGAAGACATCACTGGGACAACACCACTGACATTTGTTAATGAATGTGTTTCCTTCACAACAAATGTGTCTGCCAGGTACACACAACCAAACGGGACTTTTATGGGAATGCTCTCACATACATGCCTTTGTTCCACAAATATTTCTGCTAAACTATTTTAGTTTGGAGAGTAGAATGAACTGAGGTGCATGGAAACAGAAATCCCTTATTTGAGTACGTCACTACATATCTCGTAAGAGGTATTACTTGCAGAATATCCAAAACTGAGAAGACAGGCACAAAGGGCCTGTAGGTGTGCCAAACTGAGGTCTAGAAGCATCTGATCCGTGCATCTGTTCTTGTGATGAGATTTAACTGCTCTCTTACTTGAAACAGATTTTCATTTAAAAAAGAAGAATATATGTGAATGTATGTATGTATTTTAGTTTGTGCCCATGATGCGTATCACAGAAATGCCCGAAAGTCTCCTGCTCTGTAACAGGAGATGCAATCCCTGACCAGGAAAGCATTCCATCTAGGCTGTGTGCTCCAGCAAACAGTTTAAAAAGTCATGGCTAACTTGCCATGAAATTCAGTGCAAACATTCGGTGTCTAGGGCAGTTATTGATGTTAATTAGGCTTGTTATTTATTGAAATAGTGTACTCAGTGTTAAAATGAGATCAGCTCTTGCATTCCAACCTCCAGTTTATCTTTAGGTGAAATAAAGTACTATTTTTTATCCTTTCTCAGTTCAGAAAGGGCTGTTCTCCCGATAAACTGGCTGCTTTGCTGATGCCCGTTTCTGTTCGGTGTAGCTGAAGATTGCTCTGTAATAGCAGTGGCCACAAGAGGGAGATCTTTCAGTGTGTTCCTCTCAGTGCTGCTGCCGCAGAGGTCTGTGCAAAGGCACGAATTAAAGGCTAATTTAAGATCCACATGTGGAAACAAGATGCAGAGTTTGAGAGGTCCAAATCCCCAAAACTGTCAAGTCCTCAGCAGCAGGGAACTACAGGTGATAGCCAGAATGAGGGGTGACACTTTATGGTTCTACAATCCATTTTTGCAGTGGATCTTTCGTAATCCTGATGATGACGTGAAAATAGATTACTATTGTTAATGATCTGTGATACAGGCAGGGTCCCATGTAGAGATTTTAATGGGTTCTGCCTGTTCTTTTGAATTTAAATGAATGTTCAACTATCTACTTTGCCCCAAACATGATTTGAAATGCTGGTACAGTTAACAAGAGGGATTTTCCATCTAATTTCTGACTCTTCACTATTCACAGTAATTTTTTTGTGTCTAGTTAAGCATTAATGATGGATAACAATTTTGCCATTCATAAAACTAATTTGGTCCAAAACGAGCTTGGGAAAGAGATATATTTGCCATGTGAATTGCACTGCAGACTTGGAGGCGCAATATTTGTTTTCCATTTCCTGGGCTGCAGCTTTTAAAAGACTTAATATCTGTTGGGGCTTTTTAGCCCCTGGTGTTTGACAGCAAATCGCTGAGGCATCTGGTGGTTTCTCAGAGGATGTGGCCTCTCCAGTTGGAGTCCAGCACAGCATAATTCTCCCACGCAGGAAAAGGAAAGGATCAGTGTGCAGGGCCTTTCTGTAGCACACATGCTTTCCCTCTTGCAAATGTCAGCAGCCTGGGGTTTTGAGCAGAGCATTTGTTAAGCATTCTAAAGATGAGCACGACACGGAATTTGCTGTTATTCAGCTGCAAATGAGTAAGTGCAGAGCAGTCACACTCCAAAGGTGTGCTTTGGGGTTATAATGCCATGTAATCCACCGTGAGGAATAACATCCCTATAGATCAGAGCAGCTTTTGAGCTGCCTCTGACCTCTCCTGGCTTTGGCCTTCATCTACCAGCTGGGAAACTTGAGCTTTCCACCCACATAATGGATTTTATTGAAAAGAAAAGACATCAGCTCCACAGAGGAACTCAAGTGGTAGCTGGGAAAGACGGCAGGATGTGTTACTTCTTGGAAAATGCTTGCTGACTAAATTCACATAGGAATAATTTTTGATTTTGCATGCAACTTTGCACAGTGCACACAGTAATTTATGTCCACCTAAAGACCATAGGTTTTGCTGTTGTATGTAAGGAATTGACTGCTATTTTCTTTAGGTTGGGTGGGAGACAAAAACCACAGTGACAATTCTTTTTCTACTCTAATCTGACTTGCTATCTCCCATTGCTGTGGTTACCAGCTAATGCTGCCAGGATGGGGAAACATGGAATTTCCTTTCTTAAATCCTTCTCTGCTGATGCACAGCTCTTCATTTTCTTTTGCAGATTTTGGTTGATAGACTGTCGTCAGACACAAGAATCTGTTACTTTTGCTTCGCAAGTATACAGAGAAATTATCTGTGTCCCCTACATGGCCAAATTTGTGGTGTTTGCCAAATCCCATGATCCCATTGAAGCACGGTTAAGATGTTTCTGCATGACCGATGACAAGGTGGATAAAACTCTAGAACAGCAAGAAAACTTTGCTGAAGTTGCCAGAAGCAGGGACGTAGAGGTACTGTACAAGACTTTCTGTTTTTTCCATTTTTTAGCATCTGCTTTTAAACTAGTATTTTCTGCCTTCTCTCTGTCATAAGGACTGAAAAATAATTTGTCAGCAAGTGCTGTCACGATGCAGTATCAGCAGCCACGACAAGATGGAAACTTGGCCTTTTGTCAGGTGTAAGGAAAAAGTAATGAGAAAACCCTATTCCCAGAGGGCAGCTGACAAACTCAGTCCACAGGGCTAAATGGAGAGGGTTGGAGCCAAAAACAATGGCTAAATCCCGACTTCCAGTAACCCCATAAATGCACATCACTAACCAGAAAGGCAGCTGACAGGGGTCACAGTTTGTCAGCACATTCACATACGAAGGAGTTAAAGCAGCAGGTTTGATTAATATTCTGCTTTACAAAAAAAAAAAATTACATTAAATCTGTTGCTGAGCAGGGAAAAGCTTTCCTATGAGGAATTCAGCAAATTGTCTGCTAAATGCAGTTTTTCTGGCTCTGTCAGCTTCCTCAGAAGGGATGACAAATTGAAGGTGCTTTAACCTACATGGCACATTCTGCTTAATTCAGAGTCTTTCCCCTGAGATTCCCACCTTTAAAAGAATTGTCCTTGCTGTTCCTGAAGCTCTGACAGGCATCTCTTGTGCAGAACAGCGAGATAGAGTATGGGCTTATCAAACTGAATAATAAGATTGAATTTTTGGGAAGTAAGGATGAGGCATGAATGGAACATCTCCCAAACTGCTGATCTGATATTCAAACATGTGGAGGGGCCATAAGAGCAGCAATCTGAAGATACAAGCGGTGCCATTTGAGAGAGATTTCAGAGGGATATTTACCTGAGGTCTGCCTTTCAAAAGCTCTTATGACTCTACAGATCCAGCAGAAATAAATGGTCTCAGTATGCACACACTCTGAATTCTGATGGCTGAAGAAAATATTTCTTTGACTATGGCAATGAGGCCAGGTTAGCACAGGATGATAAAATTGGAGTAAATTGAAAATCCAAAGTAAAATCTAGATTTAAAAGTTTGCCGAGATTTACGACACTGAGTCAGCTACTGTTGTCATTTAAAGTACTGCACTATTGTTACTAAATTGACAATTTCTTCTCTTTGGAATTTCATAATCTGAAAGGTTTCCACACACTTTAGGTCAACATAACGAATCTTGTAAATGCCAATAAGTCCTAACAATTCCAGAAACTGATTTGAACTGTTGCAGAATTATCCTTAAGAAGCAATCCTAATTACATCACAAGGATTAATTGAGGGTCTGCTTTTTTTCCTTTCCAACAGGTATTAGAAGGAAAACCTATCTACGTTGACTGCTTTGGCAATTTGGTTCCTCTCACAAAGAGTGGGCAACACCATATATTCAGTTTCTTTGCCTTCAAAGAGAATAGACTTCCTCTGTTTGTTAAGGTAATGTTGATGGCTCCTTCTTGGGTATGTAAAGTTATCACTTCACCATATTTTTTGTGAACAAAGGAAAACCAAACTACTTAATTTATATAAATTCCCTACACTATTCCATTTAAAATACATTTTTATGAGTAGGAGGATTTGTAAAATAAAAACCAAAGCAAAAACGCTCTGAGATTAAATTATTCATTAACTCGCTGTCAGAAGGGCTACTGTCACCAAGCCACCATCACCACCTCTTCTGAGAGGGAGATTAGAGCACCCTGGAAACCTCTTCCACTTTTCCTTCTACCCGGACATTCCATCTACACAGGAGGAAACTATTACCATTGTATAAATAACAGTCTTAGAGAAATGATTTACAAATGGAAACTTCCAGTTCTCTTTCCAGGAGAAAATCAGCTCCCTCCATCATTGTGTTATATTTGCTGTGTGCTGCTAGACAAATTTGAAACTTTCTCCCTGCCTACCAGCAATATTTTGTAAGCTTATTTTAATCTACAACTTTATCTGTGCCACTGCCTTCCTTTGGCTTTGCAGATTTCCCCCCCTGAATTTGTCACCAACAACATCCAACGTATATTGAATATACAAATACATCCGTATGTACCTTTACAAGCAGCAGGGGGGAAAAAAGTGAAAACACGTTATTTTTGCCTACATGGACTTTTTCTCCCTATCTGGTCTCTCCTGCTCAATTGTTTTGAGAGACACAAGTATCTCACACAGCAGAGCAGCAGGTTAAATGTGTGTATTTTTACTGTGCCAGGTCCGAGATAGCACTCAAGAGCCCTGTGGACGATTATCATTCATGAAGGAGCCAAAATCTACCAGAGGCCTCGTTCATCAAGCCATATGTAATTTAAACATCACTTTACCCATTTACACAAAGGTACTGTGAAATTGTACCCAGCTGTGGGCATCAGCATTATCATACAAACAAGAAATGAGGAGGAGGGCAAAACAGGGTTAAAGCTTTGTGGGCAGGGGTTTGAAAGAGGAAAAAGTTGCACACAAAGGCTTTCGGTGCCTTGGGTTTGATACTCCTAATGCCAGTGTTTGAAGACATCATCAGGTATTTCCTGAGGACTGAGAAGAGATGAGTGGGAGTGGCCTCAGATATTAAACACTTGTTTCCTTAGAAAGTGTCCGTTTATCTTTGTTCTCTGAAAACACAAGGTTTTTTTCTTTCCCGGTCAGATTAGAAGCTGCATGCCTTTTAGGCATGTATTTTCCCAAAATGGTGATAATTTTCTTCTCAGCATTTTTAGAATATAGTAAATCTATATCATAGCATTTTAGTACAATTTTAAAACAAAGCATCTTAACATTTTGTGACTTGAAATGGTGATAGTTCTTAAATATTTTAAGTCTTTATATATGCTAATTAATGGGTGAAAATGCATGTATATATTTGAAGTTTTGGTACAAATAAGGATCACTAGGATGTCTAACTTCCGTTTGTACTTTGCTCTGTAGCCTTTTGTATTTAAATTGACAGTTGAGTTTTGCTGCTTTTTGGCATAACAAATCAACTGCAGAAATGTGCTACGTTTTCTTCTTTTCTGTTAAATGTTGTCAGAAGTTACTTTTTCCTACTCTCTTCTAAAAAAAATTGCCTTTTGCCTGCTCTGTTTCCCCCCTTCTCTTTTTGCATGGCACTTTGGGACCAAAAGGAATCAGATTCAGATCCAGAACCAGAAGAGGTAAAGTTGCTAAATCAGCATGCTCTTGCCTACACACGTTACTCAAAGACGACTAACAGACACAACCTAGAACTGATCTTTAGCTCAGTGCTACAAACACAGCAAAGAGGGCCTTGCACAGACTGACTTTGGGATTAGAGTTGAACTTGTTCTCTGTTAGAATGACCAGTCTTCTCCATTTATAAATCCACTAGACTGGATGTTACAGGTTACTGAGCTGAATGACTGACATCCAGTACAGAATCAGTGTTAATCCAGAAGTAAAAGGTTTAGAATTTTTGTCTCTGGTATAAACTAAATTGTGTCAGCTCTCTCCGAGCTCCCAGTCCCGGTCTCACAGTTAGAGATGTTACTTGTTGTGGATGAGTAACATCAGAAAAGCATCCTGACATTTTGATGATGTTCACCTGTTGGAAACACGGTGAGAATAGCCAGCTCCCCAAAGAAGATGGACACCTTTTCCATGCACTGCACAACAGATTCAGCAGGTCTGTGGCATGGCTCGTAGTTTACAATTATCATTACAAAAATAATTACGACTCCTATGGTAAATACAAGTTCTGTTTTTGTATAGGAAACTGAAGTGCAAAAAGACAAAAGCTCATTGATGGCTATAAGCATTTTGCACTATTTTTTGTTGACTTCATTAATTTTTATGTTAATAAGATTAATTAGTATGCTGACATAAACTGGACTGATCTGGGAGAAATGAAAGTGAAGGAAGCTAGAACATCCTAGGGATGCAGGGTTACCGTGTAGGGCACTGTGTTCATCGGAGAAATTCAAGCTATTATGGATCTGTGACACACACTGCTGATTGTGAGATGTAATTACGTGAGCCTAAAAGACTGCCAGACATGTATGAACATGCAGGTATGGCCAGGGATTCCCTTCTGCTTGGCATCAGCTCATGGAAAGGCAAGGATTTCCTGACATCTTGGCTGAGACAGCATATTGCTTTTATCTTTATAAAGAATAGTTTGAACTATTTAAACCTTTTCAACACTCACTAAAACCTCGGGGGCTTTACCATACACAGTATCTTGTACCAGTAGTACTGCACAGCTGATTTGCATTCGTCACAGTTGTCCTACCCCTACCACAAGTTTGTATAGCAAATTAAAGCTTTAATGCTACTTCTAGCTTTGCGTATTTTTCCATAGCCAAATTTAAACAACATGTGCTGGCGTGGAAAAATGCCAGCAGAACTGAAATAAACTGAAATTACAAAGCAACCTCAAAAATTTGCTTCTTGAATTTTCATGGTCTGAGACTGTGTTTTGTTTAATTTTGTTTTGACAAGGACTGTGCTTTCTTTTGAACAAGAGTAAAATTGTATGGCTTTTTTGATCTGTACCCAAATAACTCTGCAAAATCAAAAAGGAGGCCTGTGAGTGCCATTGCAGCTTCCATTTAAAGGTATCAATAACTTTTAGTGGCATTCAGCCCCAGGTCATGCCTCGGGCAGTTCTGCCATCATTGGTGCACCTGCATTTCATCATCACTGAGCGCAGAGGCAAAAATGAGATTCATGCTCTCAGAGTGAATACATCCAAGGAAACACAATGCATGAAAACCTGGTTGGCTTCCAGATGGACCGTATGCCTTCACATAACCATATTGGATTATTTTGCTTTAGACAGGAAGAAATAAATTAAGAACAATGCAGCCAAACACCTGGCAACGTAAAAGTTTAGGTCCTCCACACTTCCTAAGAGCATTTAAAGAAAATACACTGCAACATTTTGCATCTACTGTTGATCATAACTATAGCAAAGTAAGCATTTTTCTGGTATTAGAGACCCAAAATAAATTAAGACATGCTTTTACTGTTATTTTATATGCATTATTGGTTCCATTTAAGTCCATGTGTCTTCATACAACTAGCACTTCACTCGTGGCTTCTGTATAGCAATTATATTTAAGTCTCCTGCTTTTTCCTCTTCCAGGTTGATATGACTTCAGAAAAAAGTAAGATTTTTCTTTTATTTCTTGAGAATGTTATAATGCAATTTTGTATGAGAGATGGTTAAGAGTAAAGATAAGCATGAAAGAGAGCTAAGTTTTAACTGCTATTGCTAATAACATCAATACTTTAGAAACTAAATAAAAGCCAATTTAATATCTCAGCTGTCCAATTTAATAGACTTTAACATGTAAATTAACAAGTAATACAGTTAAAAACCGTTCATCTAAGCCTTTACTTTCCTTTGACATCCCTAGTGAACCTGCTATTGCTATTTTGCTTGTATGAATGCTCATCCCTCCATTGCTTTTGTTTTCTCCATTTGTTGACACACATTCTCGCCTCATGTTTGAGACAGATGACAGCATCACTTTTAATGAAAACCTAATGAGGACTCCAATCTTTTTCATTAATCTCATGGAATACAACCATGCCAAAAAGTGATACTGTCCAAAGGATTCAGGCTGTTTAACCCTTCCTCCCTTGCTCCACCCTTTACTGTGGTGAAATATGGCTGGAAATCTGACCTGACAGCTTGGCACAGCACAAATGCCCTCTGTACATGCACAGTCAGGCCGTGACCATGAGAGAACATGGGCGAGGGGTTCACAAACGTCTCCTTTATGAGAGAGGCAAATCAAACTAATCTTTGCACACATGGAAGTGTCTGTAGCCAGAGCTGCTTCCAAATGCAATTTTTTGGATCTGTTCAGGGAAAGAATGACATCTGTCTTGTTTCCAGTTTGGAGTGCGATGTCTCGCCTTGTCTGCAGTTAAAGTGCAATGTCTTGCATTGTCCTCCTGCCGCTTCCTCACTGCCGAGTCCCCTAGGGCCCCAGAGAATGCCAGTGAGTGTTCCTGCTCCAGCCACACACTGTCTGGATAGCACTTGCAATTTATTTCCCCCTGGAGTTGCTTTGCTTCAGGCTGATTAACTCGGTTATTGGCCAGTGAAAAAGTCATACATCTGATATTTATGAAAGTACATATTGCAAATATGTATGTGCAAAATTACTGGCTGGCATTTCAGCATGCACCAGATAGTTCATTGTAAAGCGGCAGCGCCGAAAGACCACATTTTCAGCACCACAATACTCCACAGCAATGTGGCTCTAATTAATGTACAGGACAAATGTTTAGCATTTGTTACACCCAGGAGAACAGTGGAGCAAAATGGATTTTCTTTACAAATAGAGACAGCTAATTATGGGTTGCTTAAGGTCTCCTTATTTTCATTAGTTCTTTGACTTTCACTGGGATGCCAAAATGTGCAGTTCCGTGTGATGTGCTGCCTTTAAAGGGAAAATGTCTATCTGTGATTCCTAAGCATTGTGTTCTGTTTGTAACTTGCTTCAGTTCTCCAGTATTTTGTTCAGTTCAGTATCCATTTTCTGCTATTCCTTGCTGAAGTGAAATATTACGGGCAGGCAGTTAGGGCATAATGGGAATAATCTGCAGCCACCTTCCTTATATCGATTGCCAGATTAGACAAATATTTCACCACAGTATGTTTTACAGTATTTTCATGTACCTTTAATTTATATGAATAATTTTTAGAGCTCTTGTTTTTAACTGAAGCTACATACCCAGCAGCATTTGCAACACCTTTGCTTTGCATGGAAATAACTTGCCTTACATGAATTGTACGTATGTGTCTAGTGTGACTGTCTGTGAACTTTGGGTTGCCATACATTACATTTTTTAAAACTCTGAAATCACTTCTAAGTTGATTCACAGTTTTTCTTATTATCTCTCCTTTTCTTCTCTGTCTTCTCTTTCCTCAGTCAGTTCATTAGTTGTCAATGAGGATGTTCCAAGGAAAGGACCATGCCTCTTAAAACAAAAGCCTGTTTGTTTCATTGTGTAGGTGTGAAATCCCCTTAGATGAAATGCCGGTTTGCAGCTGATTCAGATCTCTACATATTTGATCGTATTTTAGATTACGGCAGAATTACTTTTCGCTTTTTATTTTGGTCATTAAGAGAAAAAAAAAACTGTTAACCTGATGTTATTCTGACAGTTTGCTAACACTGGCTTTCTCTTAGAGGAAATCGGCTTTCAATCAGTTCTAATGCTTTCCCCCTTTTTTCTTGTTTTTCTTTTTGTTTGAACATTGATCTGTAACATCTGAACAATCTTGAGATGCCTCTCTTTGTGTAACTTCACTGTGTTTCTTCTGGTTTTGGTTTGAAATTTTGTTGTTGTCGTTTTGGGGTTTTTTTTAGTGGTGTTGTGATTTGGTTTGTTCCAGCTTTGATACTGTATGTGTGGTTGTGCTCTAGCAATAAAGTGAAGCAAGTTATTTCCTGCCATTTTCCTTTTCAGTTGTTTATTTTCCCCACCCTCCCCGTTAGCTTTGCTTTGCTCTTGTACCCTCAGATCTTGTGGATCCACCATTCCCAGCCCATTTTGTTGACCTTCCTACCACTACAGCCAAAGACTGTCATTTTCAGTCCTGATTACATTTTCCAATCTCTATTTTTGATTTCCATTTTACTTTCAATGTTTTTCATTTGCATCAAAGATGACGAGACAGAATCTACAGAAACATCTGTCCTGAAAAGCCATCTGGTTAATGAAGTCCCTGTACTAGCCAGTCCAGACCTGTTGTCTGAAGTTTCTGAGATGAAACAAGATCTGATCAAAATGACTGCCATCCTAACAAATGACCCTTCTGATAAATCAGGCTCCATTAAAGTGAGAGATCTTGAAAAGTCTGCTGAAGAAGAGCCAGGAGAACCTTTTGAAATAGTTGAAAGAGTGAAAGAGGACTTAGAAAAAGTAAATGAAATTCTGAGAGGCGGATCCTACGCCAGAGAAGAACACGTTTCGCAGAAGTCCCTTTCCAGACAAGAGCCCTTAGAGGAAGAATGGATCATTGTCAGTGATGAAGAAATTGAAGAGGCCCGGAGAAATGCTCCATCAGAAGTCACAGAGCCAAGCCATGTAGAAGTCAGGGTAGAGAAAGGGACAACAAAAAAGGGAGAGCTGGACATGACAGGAACAGTGGATTTCCTTGCAGAGGATTTAAAAGCATCCGTTTCTCTTCATGAGGGACAGCCACAGGCCTTACAAGAGGAGGTAGTAGAAGAGAAAGTCAAAGCTGTAGTAGTAAGCAGGGATTCTGAAAAAAAAGGAAAAGAATCTCCAAAAACTGGGAAACCAAGCTCACAGGAGCAACAGAAGGCAGCCTCAGAAGTTAAAAAGCCCTTTAGGGCAAAACTAAGAGAAAAGCCAAAGCCAAAGGAAGGCAAGGTGCACAGCAGCGGAGAGAAACTGAAACTGCCTAAGCTCACTGCAGACGAGGCACCAGCTGGGGAGCCTGGCCTAAAGGTGACAGGTGCTCCAGAGCCTAAAGCTGTGTCTCCTGTTATCGAGGAAACTCCCATTGGCTCAATAAAAGATAAAGTGAAAGCTCTTCAGAAACGAGTGGAAGATGAGCAGAAAGTACGGTCAAAACTGCCCGTCAGAGTTCAGGCAAAAGAAGGCCCTGCCGAAAAGGCGCCTAAGAAACCGGCGCAGGTCAAGAAGCCGGTAGCACACAAAGCCCAGCCACCAGTCTCACCCTCTTCTAAGACAGAGAGACTTGAAGAGACCATGTCTGTTAAGGAGCTGATGAAAGCCTTCCAGTCAGGGCAAGATCCGTCCAAGAATATTTCCGGACTCTTTGAGCACAAATCCGTCAAACAGAAGCAACAGGCCACTGAGAAGGAAACTCCCCGCAAGAAAACAATTCCTTCACAGAGTGAAACGAGGCGAGTGTCAACCCTCAAGACAGACAAACAAAAGGACAAACCAAGCACGGTGTCAAAAGCAGAGAAAGAGCCGCAATCAAAGAAAGCAAAAATGCAAACTTCCACTATCGAGAGTGCCAAGAAGGCTGGCAGCAAAGATGGCAAAGACCAAGTCAAAGAGCAGAGCAGCAAAAAGCCAACTGAACCTCTCCCTCCGGTAATAGTTGCTGAAAGCGCCAAAGAAACACCGGCTGGGAAAGGCAGGGCTTGTGAGGATCAGGGAGATCCTGACTTCCAGATCAGCCCTGACAGGAAAACCTCAACAGACTTTTCTGATGTCATTAAAGAAGAATTGGAGGATAATGACAAATACCAACAGTTCCGACACCTCTCAGTGACGGAGGAGGGAGAGCTTAACCTGGAGCAAGTACTGACCAGTCCTTTCGGTGCTGCTTTTCCCACAGAGTATGGGAAAGACGGATTCCTTCCTGCTCTTTCTCTGCAAAGTGCTGCTCTTGATGGGAGCTCAGAGAGCCTTAAACACGAAGGTGTGGCTGACTCTCCGGGCAGCCTACTTGACGGAACCCCTCAGATCAGCTCGGAGGAAAGTTACAAGCATGAGGGTCTGGCAGAGACTCCTGAAACGAGCCCAGAAAGCCTTTCATTCTCACCAAAGAAAACTGATGGGCAAATTGAAGACGCTAAAGGAGCAGCTCGAGTACACACAACAGCAGAAACACGTTCTACAAAGGAACTGTCCTCAAAGGAAGCTGCAAAAGGTATTACTGAGAGGCAGCTAGATGCTGTTACTGAGACTAGGGAGTCTCATTCTGACCATGTATCAGAAGAGCATGTACCTCCAGCCTCTGAAGAAGAGGCTGATAAACTTAAAGAAAATAGCTCAGCTTCCGTTATGAAAGATATTAGCAGGGATAAAGAATCCAGAACCACTGCACATTTCATTAAGTCTTCTGAAACACATGACACTGCTTTAGAGAAAGAAAAAGACATAGCCTGTGAACGCCGTCTTACAGTTAGAAGTCCCCAGAAATTGGAACTTGCACTTGCTAGCCATGATAGTGAAGGCTTTAGCCCAGTTGCAGATGACTCTTTGACTATAAGTCATAAAGACTCCCTGGAAGCAAGCCCAGTGCTAGAAGATAACTCATCACACAAAACACCCGACTCTTTGGAGCCCAGTCCTATGAAAGAGTCCCCCTGCCGCGATTCCCTTGAAAGCAGCCCCGTAGAACCAGCAGTGAAGGCTTGTCTTTTGGGGCAGAGTCCTCTTCCATCTGTTCTTAGCAAAGCAGAAGCCTGCCCAGAGCTGGCATCGGTGCGTTCCAGGATTCTCCGTGACCCTGAGGGAAGTGCAGATGATGACAGTCTAGAGCAAACGTCGCTCATGGAGAGTTCAGGGAAAAGTCCCATTTCCCCCGAAACTCCTAGTTCGGAAGAAATTAGCTATGAAATCACACCCAAAATGGCAGACATACCAAAGTCAGCCACCATCCCTGAAGCCAATGAAGAACCCGAGGATGATTCAGAAAGTGAACCAAAGAAGAGATTCACCCCTGAAGAAGAGATGTTTAAAATGGTGACCAAAATCAAAATGTTTGATGAATTGGAACAGGAAGCAAAACAGAAGAGAGATTATAAAAAGAGTTGTAAGCAAGATGAATCTTCTGTGGTTGTCAATTCAGAAGCTTCGCATGAGGCTGAAGGGTCAGAACCGGCTGCTGTAGTACAAAAAGACATACCCACGGTAGTGACACCTGCTGCTGAATCTAGGAAGAGTTCTTCCTCTTCTGAGAGCGAGCCAGAATTGACTCGGCTCAAGAAAGAAGCTGACTCGGGCCTCTTAATGGAGCCTGTGATCCGAGTGCAGCCACCCTCACCTTTGCCATCTAGCATTGACTCCAGCTCTAGCCCTGATGAAGCAGGTTTCCAGCCCATTGATTCCCAGCCATGTTCTGTCAGGATAGGTGAGGTTAAAGTGCAAGGCAAAGGTGACAAAGAGGAGCCACTTATCCTTGGGCGCAGCTGTAAGCCTTCGACGGGCACTTGCCCCTCCGACGGCTGCGTGTCAGCAGAAGGTGCGGAATCGAAATGTTGCGACGGTACGGGTGACTGTGCGATGGCCAGTCCTGACACCCAGGTCACACGATCTGGGTGTACGCCCTGTCACTCCGTTGGTGATGGTTCCCAAAAAGAAGTTCACGCTGAATCTTCACTAACAATGGGGCAGTGGGACACTACTGAAAAAGATGACAAACCCGTGGCCCCATTACCACGCAGCGATCTCATTTCTACCGGGGCTGTGTCAGAGGAGGCAGATGGTCTTTCTCATGGACATGGTACCACCGAGTACTCTGTCCCACGTGATGGCAAACTGGCCGAAGGAGACACCGATGACCATTCTGCCTCGGCAAGGGATTTGGGAAAAGCAGATGGAAGTTGTGAGACATCTCACAGGGCTGGTTGTGCTGAGGAGGCTTTACCAGAGTATTCGTCCCTAACCACTGACACAGTGGAACTTGACAGCTGTGCGGCGGGTGCCACTGATGGTAGTGCTCCATATATAGTGAGCCCTTACGAAAATGTGTCTTCTGGACATTTCTTCATTGATTCTGAAAGCGAGGTAGGATCTGGTAGAAGTGTGCTCTCTAGGGAAACCTATTCTATTGCAGAAGGGAAAGATCAGGCTGGTGAAGCTTTACTTAGCAGAGACACAGGCAGTGAATATTGCTCTTCAGAGGAAGTCTACATGGAAATAGAGCCCAAACCAGAGGATGGGTTTCAGATGATGTCACAAGGGTCTCTGACCTCAGATTCAACAAAATTATCTGAATCTGCCCTTGAGGATATAAGAGGTGAAACTGAGAAATTGATGGGTCAGGTTGTCATCACTAGAACCGATGTGGATTCTGACATGTGGAGTGAAATACGTGAAGACGATGAAGCCTTTGAAGCCCGGGTGAAAGAAGAGGAACAAAAGATATTTGGGTTGATGGTAGACAGGCGATCCCAAGGCACGACCCCTGACACAACACCGGCCAGGACACCCACTGAAGAAGGGACGCCACTCAGTGAGCAAAATCCTTTTCTTTTTCAGGAAGGCAAGTTGTTTGAGATGACTAGAAGCGGAGCCATTGACATGACCAAAAGGAACTACCCAGATGAAAGCTTTCACTTCTTCCAGGTGGGGCAGGAGCCTCAGGAAGAAGTTTCTTTGTGTGAAGAAGTGAAAGAAGCAGCAGAGGCAGAATCTTCAAAGCTGAAGGGCTCACCGGACCCATTTGCACCTTCAGAGTCAGAGGAATCAGACATGCAAGAACAAGATTCATTGAAATATTCACCCCCATCGCCCGAGTCTAGTGATAGAGCTGAAGAAACGATGGGTGAAGGTGCCAGCACAGGCACTGCAAAAGCAGATATTAAATCCAGAATTCCAATTAAAATGGGTATTTCAGCTTCTTCAAAATCACCAAAGAAAGAAACCGCTGCCTCTGAAGCTGAGCCCCTCTCCAGAACGGAGGCCGACACGGTCGATAGCAGTCAGGTGCCTTGTCCCATCTCTCCCGAGCAGTGTGTAGTAGAAGATGAGTTAGAATTTTCCAAAGTCACTCGATTGGTTAGTTCTGAACAGGGTGAGGAGTCCCCAGATTCTTCCCCAGAGGAACAGAGATCTGTGATTGAAATCCCCACTGCTCTAATGGAGAGTGTGCCTTCTTGTGAAAGCAAATCCAAAATCCCTGTAAGAACAGCTGCTGCCACATTGCAATCCTCGCAACAATTGGAAAATGAGAGCCTTTCTCTGGATGACTTCCTGGACAGTTCGCAGTGTGAAGGAAAAGATGACCAAGTGAAACCAAAGTCTAAAATTCCCGTGAAAACCACTTCCCAAAAAGCTGAACCACAACACTCATACGCGGACACGTCCGTCCACAAGTTGGAGTCATCCAAAGCGCTCGACGTGACGAGCGCGGTCCCTGCGAAAGCAGACAGCCGCAGTAAATCGGAATCTGATGCCAGTAGTCCCGTGGACCCAAAGACCAAACGTTCTATCAAAGCTAGGAGCTATGCTGAGGCAGAGGCAGAGGCCAGGGAGAGGGAGAGCGAGATGAAGTTTGAGCTAGACTCAGATGAGGCAGCAACAGCAAGATCAAAGGTATTTTCTTCACGGTTGCCAGTTAAAAGCAGAAGCGCTACAGGCTCCCGCGGTGCTTTTAGTCCCACAAAAGAAAGTAAGGACCATTTTTTTGATCTTTACAAAAACTCCATAGAGTTTTTTGAAGAAATTAGTGACGAAGCTTCTAAATTAGTGGAAAGACTCACGCAGTCAGAGAGAGAACAAGAATTAGTTTCAGATGATGAAAGCAGTAGTGCCCTAGAAGTTTCAGTTATTGAAAATGTGCCATCCAGTGAGACTCAGCAGTCAGTTCCTGAAGACATCTTTGACATCAGACCCATTTGGGATGAGTCTGTAGAGACTCAGATTGAACGTATCCCTGACGAAAATGTCCATGACCGTGCTGAAGGTATTTGCCAACGACTGGGATTCCCTGTGCGACGCATGTCATGAATTAAACTCTTTTGTTTTTTGTTTTCTTTGGTGTGTGTGTGCGTGTGTGTTTGTGCCTAGGTGTAATGCGTGTGGCTTTTCTTTTCAGCTTTTGGTGGTTAGTTGTGCTTTTTTTTTTCCTTTGTGAGCTGTGTTTGGGGTTTTTTTGTGTCTGTGTTCTTGTCTATGAAACTATCTCAAGATTGCAAACCGTAAGCGCTTACGGGAAGTGTTACCTTAATAAGCAAAAACACACTTCTAGAAACATGTATGGTTTTGTCATTAAGCTGATTGCTTAGGTTGTGCACGTTTTGGCTTTTGACTTTCCCTGCCCCTATTACTAGCTATTAACTTCTACTAATAATAACACGCTTGGGTGTCAATTGAAAGCCAGACAGATAAATTAATAGACTTTTGAGTTGGTACACAAAGAGATCTGCAGGAGTTCTAAAGAATGAAGCTTTTTATGTTCCTTTTTTTTGACAGTCTGTGTCTGAAGAAATCCTGAGTCACCAGTAACTTTAGTACACGTTTTCTGGTGCTTGGTTTTCCTCATGCCTACTTGTGTGCTAATACTGAGTAGCCCTAATGGAAATCAGGAGCCAGATTGACACGTGCATATCACGAACCCTAAGCAATTTCCTGAATCGGAGGTGTCGCAATCCCTGTGTGCATTCAGGGAAAATCAAACCTTAAATTCCACCATCCCCAAATTAGCTCTGGGGATGGGAGGAGCTGTCAGTCTCACCATTAGTGAAGTGAATGAGGACTGACAAATGACCATCTGATTTTTCCTTGCCTTCGTTGTCGGTGTTTTGTCTCCGTCCCGTCCAAAGGGTCAAAGACACTGAAATTAACAATATCTCAAATGCAGACCATAATCTGAAGCACTATATGGACTGTTTGAACACAATTTGCCCTGCAAAAGAAAAAACATGATCAGAAGCACTGGTCCCGATGAATTCTTCAACTCTGGCATTTATTAAGGAGGCATGGAAAACTCTAGCTCTTGACTTAGTCAAAGTCTTCAACTGAGCTTTAGAATGAAGTTTTAGAGTAAAATGCCTGGCCAAAACAGACACAGTAGGTGCTTCAGTCCTAGATTATGTTGTCATATGAATGCCTGATTTTCAGACAGAAAAATTAGATAGTCCTGTGCTTTTTGAAAAACCAAGCTTTGTTGAGTTTCATTTTGAGTCTAGGGATTTACAGGCCTCACTTGAGTTGCACAGCCCGTCCACATTTAGACACAGCAGTTAGGAAAAAACAGCACTTTCCCTTCTTGGGCTCCTCTGTCTCTCTCTCTCTCTCTCTCTCTCTCCTATGGAAATGGTTTTTAACTTGCAAAAGGCAACTTGTAGCTCTCTTTGACCTTTAGATCAACAGGATGATCAGGAAAGGACAGAGGAAAGACTGGCCCACATTGCGGATCATCTTGGATTCAGCTGGACAGGTAAAGTGCACGTTGTCTGCTCCAGAGAGAAAGGAGGGCAATGGTCCTCACTCCTTTCATTTACTTTGGATGATTTTCTGATTATCTAAATATGTTCTATAAAAATATTTCAGAAGTATTTATTGTCTTTGGGATACTGAGAATCCTAAGTGGGTCATCAGAGGAACCCGTTCTAAACAATCGCTTCAATATTGTGGATTTGATAGACCTCTGGCAGGAAGCGGTAGTGTAGACAAGTGGAAGTAACATGGAATGAGATGCAAATATTTTCTCAGGTTTTGGGGTTAAACTGTCATTCACAGACATTTCCTTTTCTTGGCATGAAATTAGACCAGGGGAGTAGGAGTAGTAGTATCAGACGTCTTTGCAGAGGTGGATTTCTTTTTCAGAGCTAGCAAGAGAACTGGACTTCACAGAGGAGCAAATTCACCAGATTCGAATTGAAAATCCCAATTCGCTTCAAGACCAGAGCCATGCCCTCCTCAAATACTGGCTCGAAAGGGACGGGAAACATGCAACAGGTTTGTCTCCAGTAATTGCGTGTGACTGTCTCCAATCTGCTAGGTGAGGTGACAGGTGTGTGCTGTAGTCACAAAGAAAATTTTGGGAAAATTTAGACTACAGAAAGGATGACTGTGGATTGTACTCAATGTTGTTTCTAGTCTTTTCTGTGTAACACAGCAGCTCAACAAATCCATTAGAAGGAAAGAAAATAGAGCGCTAGTTTTTATAAGCATCTGTTTGGTTCTTTTTAAATTTCACACAGCACCGCTTCTAAATGTGTCTGTAATTTATATATGATATCAGTCAGTTTCCTGTATATACCCTTCCTATGGAGAAGGGAAGGAGCGTGCTTGATTCTTAACTGAGCCACACGGTGTCGTTCCAATGGCACAGATACCAGTCTGACCCAATGTCTCACGAAAATCAACCGCATGGACATCGTTCACCTGATGGAGACCAGCGGCATAGACCCCATGCAGGGCCACGGCACGCGCACCTACGCGGACACGGAGCAGTCCTTGGCGTTGGACCACAGTGAAGGTAAGCAGCTCCTGGCCCAAACTGCCCGGGCTCCCTCTCTGAGCGTCGCTCTGCTCTGAAGCGTTGGCCCAGGCTCATCTGTCGGCTCTCACAACAGAGCGCAGGAATCCCTTTTGAAAGCACAGACAGTGTGGACGCACGCCAGCACGGCACCACGGGTCACATTTCACCAGGCAGAAGGTCTGTGCTTTAGCTCATTCTTCAGAAGCAAACACTGTGGCCAGCAACATTTGCCCAGTTTACCTTGGGATTTGGGTTTTTTTGCTTATGCAAGTGGTTACATGGAAGTTGAGAAGGTTGTATTAGAATTTGACTAAGATAGTAAAGAGGAAAACTACTCTGTGCTTTGACAGAAAACCCCTTTGGATCTGAGTATCCAGGATATTTTAGTTCTGTTAGGATGCTATTGCATTTCTTAAGTTTGAAAGTTCAGTGGATTAGAACCAGTGGCTGCGGACTGAAGAAACACCTGCAAATTATTTGGCATAAAATCCTCTTTTCTAGAAGCGATGCTTTTGTGTGCCTAACTCAATATTGAAGCCTATTAGACAGCTGCAAAGGTCCCAGTCTTGAAGAGAATGTAGGAATAGAAGGCTGTTTGTTACAATTATCATTCTCATATCATTGCTAAGTAGCTTTAGAATGTTAACCTATCTGTACAGCTCAAATTGAGTACAAGCTTCTCTGTTTCCCCCCAATTTATTCTTCAGAGTTCGCTAGGTTTCCAGTGAATATAGCACATAAATGAGCTACTTCTTGCGCCTAGCCCTCTATGAAGAGTTTTCGTCTTTTCTTGTACAGTTAATTTTTCCAGAAGCAGATAAATAACAGATACAGGGCGGGGACAAGTCCCTAAAGTCCATCCTAATCAGCTGGAAAAAATATCTGTTGTGAATCTCCTTCTATACTTGGAGGGCTTCAGGCGTAATTACTTGAGGTAAATTTCTGGGTGAATGTTATTTTGTCTGTTACTGTCCAAATCTGGCCATAGCAGTGGCAATCCAGCATTGCTTGGGCCCCTTCTAGAGGCCAGGTGCCCTCCCACTCGAGGTGTTCAAGAAGTTCAGGTTACACCTTGAGCCCAGGGATTTTTGATGCATGCAGAAAGCAGGCAGGACTTCTGCCTTCTGCTCAGACTTGTAACTCTATTTTTCATCTCTCTGTCTTCACAAGGGTTTTCAGCACTGCAGGAGGAAGTGTACAGCTCGAGACACAAGCAAGAGCAGCAGAGAATATCTAAGGATGGCGAGCCAACCGAGCACCCCCCTCTGGTCTCCGAGGAAGACGTGTCTGTCAGTTATTCCCCGTTCCAGGACGGTACACCCAGGAGTGAGGCAGAAGTGTCCATGGCTGAGCTTCTGAGGCAAGCACACAAGGAACATGTAGAAGCTGAATTCTCAGGGAAACCCCAAGACACGCCAGGGAAACCATCTGCTTCGCAACAGGAATATTTGTAAGTGCCAAAAGACCAGGATGAAGCCATAGGGAACAGGTTCTCTTTTCTCTGTGTAATAAGAAGATTTTACAGTTGCCTTTGAAACATATGAACACGCTAGAATTTTCCTCCAGTTGTGGTTTTCACTTCTTAATCCGTGTGGAGGAAGCCTTAAGGTTGAAGAGAGAAAGTCAGTTTGTCACTGTGAACACAAAGCAATAACTGTGTCTAGTGCATGGGAAATAAAACAGGGTTAATAGAGAAGAGGAGGAGGGGAGTTTGTATATTTTTCATATTTTGGATGACAAGTGATGACATCTTAATGAAAGTAATCCTAAAGGACCCTTTCTTCAGAGTTTTTCAGTGGAGGTAAAATTTTTCTAATCTAATCGTTACTTACAAAACTCCTACATACCTGCTAAGAACTGGGCTTTTAAAAGTGCATTTCCAACGGCCAAAGGAGCAGAAACAGGGTTTTACAGAGACAAGACACAGGTACTTCCAGGAATAACACATGATAGAGTACAAATTTAGAAGACCTGTGCAGCAAAAACTTGAGTTCTGAGGTGGGCTGTCAGTGGGGTTGGTTGGTTCGAAAAGGAATTTGAAATAGATCATGTTTGTTTCTCCACAGCTTCCCAGATTCTGTGCCCATGCTGAGACCTCTCTGCAGGGTAGAGTCAGGTGTTGATAAGCCAGCAAAATATCAAGAATCCCATTCCAAAGAAGTGATTTTCCTGGAGGTGATTAGCTTTGATGTGGAGATGCAGCTCCCAGCAATAAAAGGGCAGCTGAGTCCAGCAAATCGACTTTGGGGGGATTCTTTTGCTCAGGGTATGCCAGGAGAAAGCATGGGAGACAGAAAATACCTTTTAGGAAAGCTGCTGTTGCAGTGTTAGGCAAAAAACACCAATGCTTCCTGAGGACTTGGATCAGGAAATGAATGTCTTTGAGCAAACAGAGAATACTTGGGAGAGAATAGTGCCAGCACTACACGTGAGTAAAGATGACAGGGGAATATCACTACACTGCAGGTCTAATTTGAACTAGGTGAAAAATCGGGCTAGATTTAAATAACTTGTAAGGGATGTGCTCCAAGAGGAATTACACAACAATATTGAATGCACATAGGCTTGAATTATATGTATTTCCTTTATATATGTCTTACATAGTAACACACATAATAATAGGTTTAACTAACTTGGGGCAGCGATTAATCATAGCAGGGTTCAACCATGAAAATACCATTACAAACAAAACCTGAAGCCCTACTACATTTCTCTTTGCTAAACTCCAGAATTCTACATGAAAGTTGCTTTTTCCACTTTGCAGCTGCACAGCCTGTGCTCAGTGTTGTAGATGCCTCGCATCCTTCTACAGCAATCCAGGCTCTCCTACAAAAAAGTAAATGGCAGTGCGTAGAGATGCAAGGGCACAAGTGACAGCCAAGCTCTCTGAAATACTTTACAAATACCACGTTTTACCAACAATTGCATGGAAGGGTTGGATATCCATTTGGAGGTTTGTTCAGGGAGTTGAGTGGGATTCCCAGCCAGACTGCTCTGTAGTTCCTGTCAAGGAGTATCAGTTATTTCTAGACCTTTCCAGACAACAGACAGCAGAACAATACAAAGTCGCTGCTTAGTGTTCCATTGCTGGGAATTGGTAAGCAGTGCACAGGAGTAACTTGTTTGGACCTGTAATTCACAGCGTCACAGCTCCAGGAACGGAGCAGTCCGTGGGAGCTGGAAAAGCGGCGAGCGGGAAATCTGCACGCTCAAGCACGGAAACGGGAGAGATGCAGAGAGGGGACTCCCCCATCGTCCAAGAGCCTGAGGACCCCCAGCTGCACCAGGAAACCCTCTCTCTAAGGAGATCCAGTCTTGTGATAGTGGAGTCCACTGAGGACCAGATCGAGAAGTGTGGAAGGGGCTGCGAAGAGGAATCTTTAGAAAAGGTAAATGAACAACTTTGCCTCAATGTAATTTACACAATAAACCAAATTTTATGTCTCCCTCATTCCTTAAGATAAGAATATTTGTAATTAATTTGCATCTAGCACTGAGTTTTTTCTCCTTCCCTCTGTGGTTAAAAGGGCCAGGTAAAGGCTTCTCTACTGAGGTTTTCAAAGTTGAAGTAAACTGCAGATCCCAAAGTCTAGACTGATAGTTCTGGCTCTGCTCCACCCTTCTTTGTCCTTGGGCCTGTGACTGTTAGGTCTGTGCCAGAGAGAGAGAGAGTGTGTCAGTATCAGGGGCAGAAACAAACTGAAGCAGATGTAATTCCGACAAAGTAATAACAGTAAAGCTCATAAAGAAAGGCAAGGCTAGCCCAAAGCAGTGTGAGAAATTGTGTGAAAGATCTGTAAAGTCAGTAAAAGAGACAGCAGCCATGCATTGCAGAGTACTAAGGATATACTGGTGTTTATGTAGCACAAAGGCAGTAAAGAAATATAGAGACAGCAGAACAAAGAGGATTTCAAAATCTGTACAAGGTAGGTCTTGGGTTGTGTAGACAAGGAACTTCATTGCAGCTTTCAGAGAGGCAAGACACCCACCAGCAAATAAAGAGAGCGACCATATGGCTTTTAGTGGAGAATTAAATTTTCCTGGCAGCTGAAGGTTTAAGAATAAACAGCTTGCTTTGCCCATTCTGAGTGGAAGAAAAGAAGAAGGCGTCCTTGGGCAGGAAATTAGCTCTTAAGTTAGAGCAGGGATGGTGCAGCTGTACTGAGGCAGAAATTGTTTCACCTTTGTGTTCATTAGAAACAAGGCCTTTTGTCTTTGCTTCTATGTGGCCAAAGGTATCGCCTGTGGAATGAAGGGTTTTAGATCTGTGACTCTGGGATCTCAGGGAAAGGTGGAATTTAAAGTGTATCAGATTATTGAAAGAGTATCTACAGCAGGGCTCCGTGCAAGGGCTACTGGAGAGCAGGTTGCCCTCGAAATCAGGTATTGCTTTCTTCCTCCAGTTCTGTTACTGAAGTGAGACAACAACAGCTCTTACCACCAACTCCTCCTGCCCTTATTTATTTTCCCCTTTATCTTTTTATACTAGAGCTATTTCCCAGTTGAATCTTTTCGGCCTCTCTTTGCTGTCTGACGTGTTTGTTTAAATTTTTAGTTCTTCCTTATGCAGGATAGACAAGTTCAGCACTTGTTACAAATTTTTTTCTGATCTTTCTGAGGCCACTGCTACACTGTTGTCTAGTTATAACTCCTCGGTCCTTCCGTCTGTGCTCTGCGCTCTTTACTTCGCCCTGTGGAAGATGAAAAGGCTTTTATAGATTTTTCTGTGTAATTAAACCAGAAAGCATATGCAAAATGTAGAAATTGCAGAGCTGGCGTAGGAAGACAGAAGCTGTAGCTACTGCTAGTACCACGTACAGAGTCCTGCTTCCATGCCTCCCCTAGGAGTTAGCAGAGGAGCTGGGTGGGCTGGAGCTCAGCTCGGATGAGGATGAGATGGTCACCACCAGGGTCATTCGGCGCCGGGTGATCATTCAGGTACGGCGTGTTGAACGACTGCACGAGCCCGTGCTGCCTTAGGCCCTGAGTTGGTGTTGCAACTAAGCTGAGATACTCCCAAATAATGCATCTCCCTTGTATAAGCTGTTCCAATACCTTAGGATTACAGTAACACTGCTAACCCCTCTGTAAATTCCATGGATGCCTTGGTGGGAGGAAGATGAAGGCTTGTCAGCCTCGTATGCAACAAGGTCAACTAATGTATCTTTGTCTGTGTGCTGTGGCATCACTTTTCTTTGCATGCCTTTCTAAGGATTTATTTGCAGAACGGGTTTTTTTCCTAACATTGCTGATTTTTTTTCCATTCCGTAACCCATTAACCGATTTTAAAATATTTCAAGACCCACATGAAGGCCTCGCTTCACACAACTTTGTTCTTTGTCATACAGGCTGATAGTATGCCTGAAATGCCACCAGAAACAGTCACAGAAGAGCAGTACACAGATGAACATGGGCACACAGTGGTAAAGAAGGTATTGTCAGTTCTGCCCCTTGTTACCTTCTTCCTTTCCTGTAAAAGGAAGGAAAAATCATTCACAGAGATGCCAGACTTTCTGCTGTGAAGGGGTGTGATTTGAAGAGTAGAGAGTGGAAGGAATGATAATTTCAGCTCATGAGGGATACCAAAGTTAGAGCAAGAATTTAGATACTCAAAAAGATTCTATGTTACAGTGTATAACCTAACAGGATGTATTTTGTTAACTTTTGTTTAAAGCCAAGGAAAATCCTACACAGATTGACAGGTTTGAGAAGAAAGTTGTTTATTTCTTTTTTAAAAGACCCACTCTACCACAACCTTAGCTGAGATGTTTGTTTGCTTGCTTGTCCTAATGAAAGCAATGGCTGGGTCTGTAAGAGCGAAATAACCCCAGACTCTAGATCTTCACCATCAGATCATGCTTAGAAAAGCAAATTCTGCTCAGCATGGAAGTGAAAGGAGAGCTTCCGTGCTCCTTTCTCTGTCTGACAACTCGGTGCTCAGTGATTTGGTGTAGAACTTGGCTGAGCTGGGCCGGTAGCCAACACCGTCTTCTGAGAAGACATCACAGCCCTTCAGCTGGACAGGCTGTCTATGGAAGCTGTTTGAATTCCTGGTACAGTTAACCACCCCAGCCAATTGCTCGGTCTCACGGGTTGGGGACATCCACAGAAAGACACACACCCATCCTCCTGAGCAATTTCACATCTCGAACCCTGTAATTCTCTCCTCGCTTTGGCCAGCCGGTGCCTCGAGAGCTTTAGCACCACGTAAGTCTCTTGAGCAGGTTTTGAGAAGTAGAACATGGAATCATCTACACAGGTTCTTTCACACAGGACAAAATACCCTTTGGGTAGCAAATACTAGATAGAGAGCAAAGAGGAATATTTTACTGCTACTGCTTTGGGGACTAAACTCCATTCCTTCAGGTGACTCGGAAGATCATCCGGCGATACGTCACTCCAGATGGCACGGAAAAAGAGGAGGTGCTAATGCAGGGAACGCCGCAAGCCCCTGTTGGCGTGGAGGAGGGAGATGGTTATTCCAAAGTGGTGAAGCGAGTTGTGCTGAAGAGTGACAGTGAGCACTCAGAGGTAGGGTGTGCTTTGCCTGCCTTGGCACAGAGCAGCAGCACCCCAACAGGGCTCTTAGTAACTGCAGCTTAGCCTGCTCATTCTGCCACTCAGGCCTAGAACCCCACAGTTACGGGAAGTTCACCTTGCTGGTCTGTTCTTGCTTTGAAGAAGCTAAAACCATCTAGGACTTAAACAAAAACTTTATCAGAGCCAGGTAATTAAAAAGAAAAACAGTCTAAGAAGGTAAGTGCCTTCCTGCCATGCTTCACTGCCTGGCCCTATAGGCAGTTGGATCAGCACAGCCAAGTTGTGATGGCCGGCCAGAAGCTGGCAATGGAGTGTGCTTTCAGCAGTGCTGGCCCAAAAGCAAGGTGTAGCAAGCAGTTATTGCAATTGTGAAAAACATGACTGATATATTTGCTTGCTGGAATTAATCATCAGAAATAATTCTTTAGGAGTAAAATAACAAGGAAGAAGAGTCTCAATTTTTCTCTTTTTTCTTTTCTTTTTCCCCCTTTTTTCTCTTTTCCTTTTTCCCTATTTTTCCTTTTTTTGTTTTTTCTTTTTCCTTTTCCCCTCTTTGTTCCTTTTTTCTTGTTTTGTTTCTTCTTTTTTCCTTTTGCCTTTTTTCTATTTTCCTTTTGTCTTCTATTTCCTTTTGTCTTTTTCTTTTTTTTTTCCTTTTTTCTCCTTTTTCTCTTTTTTCTCTTTTTCCTTTCTTCTTTTATCTCTTTTTTCTTTTTTTCTTTTTCTCTGTTGTCTTTTTTCTTCTTTCTCTGTTTCCTTTTTTCTCTCTTTTTTTCCCCTTGTATGTCTTCTCCCTGCTTTCATTTTCCTTTATTCCCCTTTTTCTTTCCAGTAAGCTTTACCCTGTGGAGCCCACAGACACAGAATTAATTTGGCCAGTGCATATCCCAAAGTGTAGCTGACCTGTGCTTTCTAACCTTACAGGTGACTCTGTCTGAACCTGCCGTTCTCCCTAGTGCCTCCAAATTCCAGTCCGAGCCGGTGGAGGGCCGGAAAGTCAGCAAGGTCATAAAGACCACCGTAGTGCATGGAGAGAGGACAGAGAAACATCTGGGGGATGCCAGCCTGGCTTCTGATCTTCCGTCAGCCAAAGAGGACTTTGAAGAGGTAAAAATAACTTTTATCTATTATTATCCCAGGGACAACGTCTGTTCTCCAGAAAGGTTTTGTTGGTGGCCTGGCAGACTCCTGTGCTGTGTTCTTATACTCGGCCATGTTTCAAAGAGATGCACGTATAAAGAATGTGTAGTGAAAGCTGACATTGCAGAATTAGGTAAGAAACTGACTAAGACTAAAGGAGAACATCACGGAGGCTTTGTGCGTAGTTCTTAGAAGTCTAGGGGGTGAGTGCAGTTGACGTTCATTCCCGTGTTACCATTCGTGCAGGTAATTGTAAGAGTGGCTACGGGTAAGCCCCCGCCCTGGGTGAATGGATGTGTTCCTCCCCTGAATCCAGTCTCTTGTCACCTTCAAGAGACAGCTTGGAAGGAACACTCGCCTCCCAGCTCCTGCCTCAGAAAATCCAGAAGTCTGTAAGCATGGATGAGACATGCCTTGGTACAATCTCTGTTGAAATGGAACTGCCCCGTAGGAGAAATTGTGTGTGCTACATGTGCAGGAGGGAGGGATGCTTTAAGAGATGCAGTTACTTTCAGGTTCAGCATTTTCTCAGCATTTAGCTGTGTGACTACGAAGGACTAAGGTAGGAAGAGCTCCATGTGTTTTGGGTGTGTTGTAATTTGAAGTTTATGTTTTCACTGGAGGCTTTGAGCTATACAGGTCACCACATGAGATTGCAAGCCCCTGCTTTGGTAGAGAAGGAAATCCAGAAAGACGATGGATCAGTAATTAAAAGGTTTGGCAAATCGATGAAATGTTACTGTAAATGAACTAACACAGTTACAGGAGTGGATTGCAGTGAGTTCCTGTGGTGGATGCAAAGCTTTAGTTGCAGCAGTACTAAAGCACCGACTAACCTGGTGGCAGCGACAGCTTAAAGAGCAGTGAAATAAAGCATTTTCCACACAGCGTCGGTACAGGGTTTAATACAAGGGCTGGCCTCTATTGCACAGATGTGAAAATGCCTATGTGGTGAATACAATTTTACAATTGTAGCAAAGCAGCACGATTCAAATTGGATGGAGAATGAATGGATAGGGGTAAATAAATGAGGAATGATTGGAGAATGAATAGATGAGTGTAGGATCGGTGAATGATTGAAAATGAATGATGGGATGATGAGTACATGGACAGCTAATGACTGGATGATAGGGAATGAACAGATGATGGGGAAAGAGGTGATGGATGAATGAACAAGTGGATAAGGGAGAATTACTGGATGGTGAATGAGTGGATGATAGAGAATGGATGAACAGTGGAGAATGAAAAAATAGCTGAATGATAGAGAAGAGATAAAGGACAATGGGATGGATGCAACGAATGGAATATGGCACGATAGAGAATGAATGAACAGATGGATGAGGAATGACTGGTGGAAGAAGAATTAAGAGGTGGATGAATGGATGGGATGAAGAAATGATTGGACAATGGAGGAATGATGCAGAAAGCTTGAACAGATGGAATGACAGGCACAGAGGATGTACACAGGGAGTGAATCAGGAGTTGTCTAGCAAGGTAGGATTCCTCTTCCTCCTCTCTATTCCTCTTCTGCCTCCTCTTCCTCCTCCTCTTATTCTTCCTATTCTTGTTTCTATTCTATTCTATTCTATTCTATTCTATTCTATTCTATTCTATTCTATTCTATTCTATTCTATTCTATTCTATTCTATTCTATGTTCCTATATTATTCCTATGATCCTATCTCATCCATATATTATTCCTATATTAGTCCTATCTTCTTCCTATTGCCTTCTTCCTATCATCTCCTTCTCCCTATCATATCCATCTGTCTATCGATCTATCTACCTATCTATCCATCTACCTATCTCTCTTTGCTTATGTCTATGTATCTATATCCTTCGTCCTATATCAGCTATATCTACTCCTTGCTATATCATCTATATCTATCCACGTCTTCCAATACCTATATCTATCTCCTATATCATCTATATTAATATGCTTCCACCTATATCATCTATATCTCTCTTTCTTCTTATATCCATCTCCCTCTTCCTATATGTAGCTCCTTTCTATAACTATCTCATTCCTATATAAATCTACTTCCTATATCTATATCCTTCCTCAATCTGTCTTCCTATATCTTTCTCCGTCTTCCCAAGTAATCTATATATATCTGTTTCTTTCTATATCTATCTAAATCTGTATCTATCTCCTTCTTCCTATATCTATCTATATCTGTCTATATCTAACTTTTTCTTCCTATATCTATCTCCTTCCTATATGTATCCATATCTATCTCCTCCTTTCTATATCTATCTATATCCATCTCCTCCTTCCTATATCTATCAATATCTCATCTATCTATATGCGTTTATATATATGTCCTTCTTCCTGTATCTATCTATATGTATCTATATCTATGTCCTTCTTCCTATATGTATCTATATGTACCTATATCTATGTCCTTCTTCCTGTATCTATCTACATCTATCTATATCTACGGCCTTCTTCCTATATGTATCTATATCTATCTATATCTACATCCTTCTTCCTATATCAAAATCTATCTCCTTCTTCCTATATCTATCTATATACTTTTTCCTATATCTGTCACTATCTTCCTATAACTATCTATACCTATATCCTTCTTCTGATAACTATCTATATACTTTTAGCTATATCTATCTCTATCTTCCTATATCTATCTATATCTATATCCTTCTACCTATATCTGTATACTTTTTCCTATATCTATGTCTATCGTTCTATATCTCTCGATATCTATATCCTTCTTCGTATATCGATTTTTATCTTCATATATCTATCTATATCCTTGTTCCTATATCTATCACTATCTTCCTATATCTAACTATATCCTTGTTACTATATCGACCTCTATCTTCCTATATCTATCTATATCTATCTCTTTCTTCCTATATCGATCTCTCTTCCTATATCTGTCTATATCTATCGCCTTGTTCCTATACCGATCTCTCTTCCTATATCTGTCTATATCTATCGCCTTGTTCCTATACC